GAAAATATTGTTCCTAAAAAAGTGGCATATCTTAGGTCCGAGAGGCGCTGATAGAACTATGTAATTACTAGGGGTGGGAAGTTACCGTTACGTTCCCAGGTAACTGGTAACGGAAAAATTACCGCCGTTACCAGTTCCCGGGTAACTGGTAACGGTTTGGAAACCAGGGAGGGTGTGGAGGGTGGGTGTGGGTGTGGGTGTGAATGTCGGTGTGCCTCTCTGTGCAACCGTTCTTTTACCCCACACCCCACATCAACACCCACACCCACCCACACCCACACCAATACCCACACCCACCCACACCCACACCTACACCCTTTTCCTGTTCGTCAGTAATGATTGTATGATCAGATGTTTTCGTGGGACTTAGGATATTCTAAATAATGTGTTATTGATTAAAAAAATTACACAACTATTCTTAAAAAAAAGCCAAAATTTAAATTTCTTACTTTCACTTCTTTTATTACACGTTATACGGAATTCAACTTGCTTGAAGTTTTCGATGTAGAATTCGTATGTATAATTTTCATAGAAGTTGCACTTGATGACTATGTATTATAAATAAAAGTTATTTTTTGAACATCATTATTTATCAAATCAATTACTGATGATGATGATGTCGGTGACATAAACAACCGAGGTGGAGTATGAACAGGTGATATATTTGCACTTGTAGTATTCATAATGTCAATTGATGATTCTATATCTTTATCCTAAGTGTATAAAAAAAACAGATGATTTCAAGTTTTGAAAAATGTATACCAACTACCTGAAAATCTCGATTATTACTTATTATTTGATTCAATTGAGGATTAGGTGAGTCACGGTTTACATTCTTTCCGGCTTTAGAATATTGCTCATCGCTCTAAAATTTACAAAGATGTAATTTTTTTTGATTTTATTCTGAACCCACATCATTTGATAAATGAATATCTGATGATTTTTTCATTTGATTATTTAAGTTATCAGATGATTCGGCACATTTACAAAGAACTTTAATAGCAACAATATCACCGGAACAGCGTACAGAATGAATATCATGAGTACATATCACAGGAATATTCTTTTGTTGTTGATATAAAAGTTCGCATAACTGCTTCATGAACTCTTGATGTTGTTCTTCTGCTGCGCTTAGTGATGAACACTAAAAATACAATAAAATCAAATTAAATGTCGTGATCGATTTCA